GTCCACGCCACAATCCCTTCTCCTCCATTCTCCTCTCGGGATCTGGGGCACACACGCACACGCGCCCGGGCATGAGTTTAAGCCACCGGGTCTGGGACTCGAACCGCGGTCAACTACGTGGGAGTCCAGCGACATAACCATTACACTAACTGCTGGTCCCTATCATGTAGAATCTTGACCAAAATATTCCCAGGTTCTTAGTAAATAAACTTTTTTTGAGAGAGAGATATTTTTGCTATAGGGCTCACCAGAGAGGCAGAAAGAAACAGAAAGACAGAAAATGAGAGATCATCACCACCACCACCACCACCCCCAGGATGGATGGCCATACCACAGTTCCTTCTCCTCCATTCTCCACTTGGGATTCTGGACATGCACATGCACCCAGTGTGAGTTTTAAGCCGCTGAGTCTGGGACTCGAACTGCAGTTCATTGTGTAGGAGTCCAACAACCTAACCATTAAACCATCTGCTGGTCCCAGTAAATAAACAAACTTTCAATTCCTTGTCCTCTAAATCTCTAAACAGAGAACAGCTATGTTCTTGCTGTAGTTTATAATATCCAATGTGATCAAAAATGTGTTTACGGGGCCAGCAGATGGCGTAGTAGTTAGATCACTGGACTCCTACATGGCCAACCATGATTTGAGTCCCAGCCCTGGTGGCTTGGAAATCACACAGGACATGTGTGCGTGCGTGCCCAAGATCCTGGAAGGAGAAGGAAGTGCAGTATGGCTATCCCCGGAGAGCTGATTTCTCACTTTCCCTCTTACTATGTCTGTCTGTGTGTCTGCCTCCCTCTCCCCCCAGCACATGTACCCAAGGCAAAAATCTAAAATACAAAAGTGTTTTCTATCTACTGACTAGGTAAGACTGAATCTCAGATTGGATGGTTGAGAATATAATGTACCGAGGAGTGACTTCTCCCTCCACCCTCCCTTTTCCCTGCTCCCTTCTACTGTTTGTCTCTTTCTTTGCTGTCACATAAACAGCAGATATGTATAAATTAGGTTTTTCTTATGTTGAAGTGTCCTGATTTTGCCATTGGTGGACTGATAAATTATGAGTTTCTATGTTAGTGTTTCTCAACATAATTTGTAATGATTTCATTTAAGGCAGTATGTGTGAAAGTCAGTATTTCTCACAGTGTGGTCCCTAGCCATTTTAAGCAGCTCCCCCACAACGCAGATTTCTAGACCCTACCCCCATGTGTATTATGCCAGATTCTCTGGGAACAGAATCTAGGGATCTTTATTTTTAAAGGGCACAGTGGTGATGCTGAAGCTGTGGGTGCTTTAGAGTAGAATCACTACTCTAGGGCTTTCAGAGAGTTGGCCCCTGAGGTTCCTTTCAAGCCCTTATTTCAATTTTAGACCTGGTTTGACCTTGGCAGGTTGTTTGAGAGAACAGAGAGTTCTTTAGAATGCACCTTGGCCTACTCACCTGAAGTGCTCTGCGCTGTTGAGCACTGAGTCTCTGCCTTAATAACTTTAATTTCTGCACTTACTGGCTCACTGAATGTTGACCATCTATAAACTCCTGGTACTGTGCTGTGCTGTACTACACTAGACCGTCTCTCCTCCTCTTTGGCCGAAAGGGGCCACTGGTTAAGTGGTACATAAATCAAAGAAGGTAATTCAGGACATGCACTTAGCTGCTCAGAACTTCGTATGAAAGGAGAATGCACAGGATATTTTTTTTATAAATATGTGTGTAGAGATTGCCCACTGAAAGCTGAGAAATATTAACCTGAGAATCTCTGAACACCGTAATTCTCCCAGTGAGACTTTTACCTTTGTGTTCTCACCAAGGACATAGGTGCCCTTAGTTTTCACTTAGG